CAAGCAAATCTTCCTTCTCTCTCACTTTCACATGCCAGAGTGGGAACAGGAAGAGGGAGAGGCTTACTCTTGTTTGTGTGCACACAGGTGTGTGTGTGTGTGTGTGTGTGTCTGTGTGTGTGTGTGCTATGCTACGAGTAGCAGAGAGACACAGGAAGAAGTTGAGGATGTTGTGGCATGTAGGCCTGGGTTGAAGCTCTGAAGAGAGACTGTGTCTTGCTAGCATCAGCTAAGATGGTGACCCACTACTAGACAGGAAGACAGGCACGAGCAGACTGAAGAGACGGAAAGAAAGAAATGTAGTAGGGAATTCATTTCTGTCAATAGTTTTGGAGTCTTAGGGTGTGGCTTCAGTGTTCGGATGTGATCCCTTATAAGGAAGAGGAGGTGTCTCACTGGTTCTATCTTGGGGTGACAGGCTGAGACCTGACCATCCTCCTGCAGCACAGCAAAGAAGGAAGGAAGAAAGGGAGGGAGGGAGGAAGGGAGGGAAGGAAGGAAGGAAGGAAGGAAGGAAGGAAGAAGTATGTGCACTACCACTAAAAATATGCTGGGGAGAAGAAAGTGCCAGAGCTGGAACTCAGGAGATGGGTCAGTGTGTAAAACACTTGCTGTGTAAACATGAAGACCCAAGTTTGAATCCCCAGAACTCACATAAAATTGGGTGCAGCAATGTGCATCTGCAGCCCTAGAAACCATATGGTGAGGTGGGAGATGGGGACATCAGGGCCCTTGGAAGCTCTAAGGTGGCACACACCTTTAATCCCAGCACTTGGGAGGCAGAGGCGTGTGCCACCACTGCCCGGCTGAAGTCCATCTTTTTAAGGAACACCCATTATTGCATTTGGGGACAACCTGCATAATCTAGGATCATCTTCTCCTCTCCAGATCTCTAATACAATCCCATCTACAAAATCATTGACACCTAAAAGAACATTTATCTTTTTTATTTGTATTTTTAGGTCCATCTTGAGAGGTCAAACCCAGAGTCTTGGACATGCTAGGCAAATGCTCTCCATCAGACTACTACTTAACCCTTTCAACAATTAATTTTTATTTTTGGAGACAGACAATCATTTTGTATCCCAAGATGGTCTTAAACTCCTGATCTTTCTGCCACCATTTCCCAAGTGCTAGGATTATGGGTGTGTACCACTACACCCAGTTAACACTTCCAAATGTCAGTATTAAGAATCTGACATTTTGGGGGACAGCCTAGTGAACTTGGTGTTGATCAATTTTTATGTGTAATTCTAAAAAGTTTAGACAATCAGCAGGCCTGCCAGTGGGTAGAGGATTAGGAGTGGTTAAAGAAAATTGGCATTGATGCAGACATCTGCAGAGACAAAGGGCATATGGGTGCTATGAGGATTATGACATTGTAGAACAGGAAAGAAACACGCGTTTATAGTAGCAGAGGCTATGCTTAGTGGGTGTTTGGTGCACTCAGGGCTCTGTTGATACTGCTTTGCCCCGACTGAGTCATCTAATTTCAGAGGTTCTGAGGAGGCCAGCATGTTCACCAGAATATGGCTTTCTTCCTCTTGAACATGGGTGCACACTATTTCCCAGGCTCTCTTGCAGCTAGGTATGGCTAATGACTGTTCTGACTCATGGATCATGGGCACATGTCATGTGTGCAGTGTGTAGCTGTGATACAGACTGCATGCAATACAGATCTCTAAACATGTGTCATATGAGCCCTTCAAGCTTCTAGCCCTCAATCTTAGCTTCCCTTTTCTCATCAACTTGAAAACAGGACTTGTCATTGAGGGATCAGAGGGAGGAAGAGTCAGGGAAATTGATCAGAAAATCTGAAATAGGTCTGTATATGGGAAATCACTTATTTGTGCTGTGCCTTGGGGCTACATGCTGAGTTTGTCACAGCAGCTAGCATTACCATAACCATTCCCTAATGGCTCTCCTTCAAAATGTAGTTCCCTTGCCTCTTCTGAGGGAAGCCTCCAGAGCATGTATTTATTTTCGGTTGTAACTCTGGTCTTTAGCAGCTGAGCCATCTCTCTAGCCCAGAGCATATATTTATTATGAGCTGTCCCTATCAGCAATAAGTCCTGAATGCCTGGAGAACTACCTGCTCAGTTACACATCCTTCATGCCAGCCTTCCCTTCCCTTCTCAGTTTTCCATTTTCAATATCGTGTTTCCCAGAACCACCTCTTAGAGGGACCACTTGCATCTGAGATGCCATGACTACCAATACATAAAACTATGAGTACCCAGTGAGATTCTATGAAGGCTGCATCCCTAAGCCCTCTAGATTATGCTCATCAGCCTAAGCAGCAGAGATGGTTTAATCATGACCTCTGTCTTTTGGATCCCACAACAGTGAATCTCCTTGAAGAAACCTAGCTGCAAGGGAGTCTGGAAATACGGTCACCAGCCAGGTTTTCAGCCCAGTGAAAGAATAGAGAATAGGTGCTGTAAGCTGACCATTGTGTCCTTCCCACAGTCTAGTACTCCAGCCAAAGTGCAATTCTGGAATGCAGAGGCCAGCTCTAAGACTTCCACATTCATGGAACTGAGTCTCGGAATCTTAGACTCCCAGGGTTAGAGGGTTCTGGAGATTATTTTATGGTAGTGAAGACCCAGTCTCTGAGAGGGGAGGGTCTCACAGAGGGTGAGGGGCATAGAGGATATATTCCTTTCTGATTCTGGGAAAGTAACTGATATTATTTAAAGACATTCATTTATGTGTATGTATGTTTTGATTACATGTGTATATGTGTACCACATGTATGCCTGTTAGGGATCTCCTGGGGTCGTAGATGACTGTGAGCCACCATATTGGTGCTAGGAATCAAACCTGGGTCCTCTACAAGAGGAACAAATGCTCTTAATTACTGAGTAATCTCTCTAGTCCATGAAAGCAATTGATATTTATAGTACATCTATGTGTCTGGGAAGGCTGACGTGTTCTCAAATCACCTTTAAACAAACCCACAGAGATGGCTCTTCACACACCAGTGTGTAGTCTGTGCCAGGCGCACACTGTGTCAATGTGGTGAAGACAGCAGAACTCCAGAGCCGACCGCCTGGAATGCACCCTGGCCCCACAATCCCACAATTCATCTTGCCCTGGCTGCTCAGCTTCCTGCTGCAACGCCCTCGTGTATTTTGTGCACATCGCAGGATGGGTAAAGATGCACAGCTCAGGCAGACAAAGGTTGAGATCATTGCCCAAGCACCACAGTAAGTCAGAGGCACGACCAGGAATGGTCACCTCAGCACTCTGCCTCCATTCTCTCTCCATATTATGATGCATAAACACTTCCAACTTCTGGAATAGGGACCCACACCTAGAAAACTGTCAAGCTTTTAAGCCAAGTCTTGCAGTCTATTCATTCAATGAACAGTTACTGAGCACCTACTGTGTGCCTAAGAGCATGTGGGGCTGGGATGCCCCCACAATCTGCCTCGCGTACAGGCTGACAATCAAAGCAACTGAGTACCTACTGTGTGCCTAAGAGCAGATGGGGCTGGGATACCCCCACCACCTGGCTCACATACAGGCTGAGTATCAAATCAAAAGAGCAAGGAGAACAGAATGGGGTCTACAGCCAGAAAGCACCAGGAACCCTCACTGTCTTACCAGAGCCCTGACCCAGCTGTGCCTGAACTTTATTCCAACCCCAGACCCCTAGTTCCTCCAGCTCACATCTCCCTTCCTCTGGCTAAACTGGTTTGAACTGGATTTTCTGTATAACTGAGTCTTCACCGTGAGAACGGGCTTGGTCCCACTGAATCTCACACCATCACAGTTCTAAACATTGAACTCCCAGGCTGGGGAGATGACTCAGTAGGAAGAGCCCTTACCACACAATCTGACCTGAGCTCAGATCTCCAGAACATGTGAAGCCAGATGTGGTGGCATCTGTAACCCCAGAGCTTCTGTGGTGAAATAGGAGGTACTTCACTGGTGAGCTCCAGGCCAGTGACAGACCTTCTTTGTGAAACTACAAACAAGGTATGCAGAGTTTGACATTGGAGGAATGACATTGGAGGTTGGCCTCTGACCTCTATGTGCAGCAGTGAACACCTGCTCCCCACAGAACTGGAATGACTAGATAAGATAATTCTAAAACGGGCCAGTTTCAGTCTCAGGCATGTAACAAAAAGCCCACTACTTGAACACCATCTAAGGCAGGGAGAGGATCAGTAGACATTTTATGTGAAGAGCTGGAGAATAAATATTTTAGGCTTCTGGGGGCTGAGAAGCCTGTCTCTTTGTTGTAGAAGGGGAAAAATTCAAGACTACAGGAGTCAGTGACCATGGCCACTTTATGACAATAAAACTTTATTTATATTACAAACAAGGAAATTTGACCTTTGGGGTTTAGGCTTGCCAAACCTTGCTCTAGGGGATCACTTGAAGAAGAAGCAGGTTAGAAGGACATGAAGGGAGATCCACTGAAGGGTTAAAGAGGGGCTCCAATTTGAACAAAACCTACCATCCGATACCATGGCCCTTGGATTGGGTCTGGCTGCTGTATTCAAAAATAAAGGTTTACTTGTTTCTCTGTCGTCTGTGTCTGCTTTGACACAGACACGAGACGACTAGAGTTGAATAGCCTGGAAGACTATCTGGTCCTCAGAGCTGAACTCGCTGTTCCCTGGCCACTCACAGAGCATGTTGGCTACTCTCTGGCCTCCACAGACGCCCCGTGTTCAAAGAACGGTGTCAAGGGGCTTAGCCTGGACCTGGGGCCACATGCACAAAGCTCTGAGAAGAAAGCAGCCCCAAGCAGAACAGTGTTTTTAATAAAGTGGACAGAGCAGACGCTAAGACAAGAGGCAAACTAGCGCTCTGCCCCGCACCCTGGAGAGTCTGACCACAGTGACGCCGGAGAAGCGAGTTCACAGCTAAGACGCACTCCATAAATGTTAAAATAACAAGAACAATAAATAGTAATAAAACACAAAGCCCTGCACGCAGGCTCCTCGGGCTGGACCTCCCAGGGTTTTGACCTCCAGAGCCAGGAGATCAGGCTTGGCAGTGGTTCTGCAGGGCCTGCAGGGGCTGAGCAGGGCCAGAGGAGGAGGAAGTTCACATATGAGGGAGCAGGCCCTGGTGAGAACAGCCTCGGCTGCAAGACGGTACCATCTGCTGGGTACAGAGATCCAGGTGAGGCCACCACTAACTCAACACCCCCCCATGATGGGGCGGGGGAGATGGTCCAGTTGGTAAAGTGCCTGCCCTGCAAGTATGGGGGGGCTGAGTTCGATCCATAACCCTAACCCTAACCCTAACCCTAACCCTAACCCTGCCCTGCAAGCATGGGGAGCTGAGTTCGATCCCTAACCCTAACCCTAACCCTAACCCTAACCCTAACCCTAACCCTAACCTAACCCTAACCTAACCCTAACCCTAACCCTCACCCTCACCCTCACCCTAACCCTAACCTAACCCTAACCCCTAACCCTAACCCTAACCCTAACCCTAACCCCTAACCCTAACCCTAACCCTAACCCATAACCCTAACCCTAACCCTAACCCTAACCCTAACCCTTGTGAAAGCTGTGCGTGGCGCCTTTGACTCCAGTGCTGGGTAGGAGGGTGGGGTAGGAGGGTCCCTGGGGTTTGCTGGCCAGCCAAGCTCCAGGTTTCAAGGGATCTGATGCTTTATGTGCGAACACACACACACACACACACACACACACACGATAAGTAAATATTAAAAATAAGGTGGAGAGTAAATGAAGACGGCACCCGGTGTTGACCCTTGACCCAGTCACACATGAGCACATGTACCTGTGCGTGCACATACACCTCTATGCCTCCCTCTTCCAAGGGTGCTTAGTCTGTCTGAATTCTGAGGGTACGCTTGTCCCAAACACATGGGACCCCACAGACCAAGCCTTCCAGAAAGCTCCAGTGATCCAGCTCAGTGCTTTCTTTATTTCAGGACCACCCCAACCCCACCATCTACAGTTGATGGCCCAAGCTAGATTGGCTTGGTACCCTCACCTCTCCGGCGCAGAGAAGAGGAAAGTCTTCAAGGCCGGCAGATTGTACCAAGAGCACAAGCTGAGACAGGCATGGCAAAGACCCAGCCTGGCACTGCAGCATGGCTAGAGGTTAAGGGCAGACCACATCCCAAATCATCAATGAAGAGCCTAAAGGACTCAGTCTCTAGGGTACTCTCAGAACACCAAAGACAGAGGACTGCCCGGCTTCTCAGCGGCCAGTGCTCTGCAAGGCCCTAGTCTCAAAACTAGGTGGTGCCCTGTGGTTCACAGTGGGCATTAGGCAAGCAGTTCCTTTCCATGAGGCTGCTCAGCTCCTCAAGATGGCTACGAGCTGGTTAAAAACAGGGAGCTTGCACGATGCCATCAGCTTGTCCCCAGTACCCAGCCACTTCACTTGGCCAACTAAAGAGCTCTTAAGAACTACTGGGCACTGCTCACAGCCCTGTGTCTAGCCGAGGGTACCACATCTCCCACACTGCTGGGTTGTAGGTACAGCAGGACTCCATGTGACAAATGAGGAGGCTGAGGTCCAGAAGGTGAGACCACCAGAGACGGGAACTTCCTGCTATTTACTGTGGGGCAATGTGACCAAGGAATCTCTTTGCCTTCACATTCCTTCCTTCTAGATGGGCCTCTTAAGGTTCAGCAGGCTGGAGGTTGAGCAACACTTGAGACATAGCCCAGCAATCAGTTTGAGAATATTGAGGCTCCTCCTGGGAGGAGAGACATGGCAAAGAGCTTACAGAATGTTCTGGAGAACTTGCAGGAGCTGGTCTTGTCTTTCCCAAGAAAGATTAGAGATGACGGCGCTTAAATGAGCAGAGGACCAGGTTGGGCAGGTTGAGAGCGTGGCCTCTGCTGATCCCAGCTGCACAAAGACCAGGCCACCCTCGGCACCATAGAGCAAGAGGCCAAGCTACGGCTGGCCCAGTGCCAGTACAGCCCTTACCGATGGCCACAGCATCAGATGACCACGTCCAGGTGGGACCTCTGACATCCTGTCCTCAACCCTTGTCCTTGGGTCTGGAGAGACTGTCCACATCACATACAGACTGACTCACACGAGCACTTAGCTAGGAGTCTTTCTGTCTGGATCCACGCACTGCAATGTCCTCCCCTCTCTCAGAGGGAAATTCACACAGAGCTGCTTCCCTGCCACAGCCAAGTGGAGAGGAAGGGGGCCATGCTGTTGTTGAATGCAGCCAACTCCCCATGCCAGGAAGGAAAATGATTTTTCCCAAGAAAGAACAGAAGGGGTTTGCTGAAGAGATGGGCCAGCGGGTAAAGTGCTGCTGTACATGTGTGAGGACCTGAGTTCTAATCCCACACACCCAAATAAAAAGCTGGGCATACCCAGGAGGTGGTGGCCCAAGCCTTTAATCCCAGCACTCAGAGGGCAGAGGCAGGCGGATCTCTGTGAGTTCCAGGCCAGCCTGGTCTACAAAGCTACACAGAGAAACCCTTTTCCGACCCCCTCTCTCCCCCGCCAAAAAAAACTGGACATGGTGGCACCAGGGAAGTGAAGACAGGAGTATCGCTGGAACTCGCTGGCCAGTTGGTGAGCTCTGTATTCAGGGAGAGATTCTGTCTGAAAAAGAAACAAACAAGCCAACCCAAGCTAGAAAACAACAAATAGACTCTCCCATTGATCACTGGCTTCTGCATGCACGAGCACACACAGGGGCACACATATGGAGACCCAGGAAGACAGACATAAGTGTATGAAGGGCTTCCAGCCCCGAGAGTGTTTTACCCAGGGGCCTTCTGATGAACCAAGCACAAATATGGTCACCAGTATCGGTTAAATGCCCCTCAAAATTCTTCCTGTTTTGGGAAGGAAGGGGGAGAGAAACAGGGATCAAGTACACTCTAGACTCCTTTGTTGCTGCCCTGATGTTCCACACAGGCAGGTGCCTCAGCCAACTTCCTTCAGAAGCGTGAGTTTGAGCTGGAAGGAGCCCATCTTCTAGAAGAAGCCTCTTGCCCAAACTCCAGTTGCAGCCTCCCTGGAGCCCTCACGGCCACCGTCTTCCCATGGAGAGCCATACCCTTGGGCACTTTGGTGTATTTCTCATTAAATCTGACAACATGACTATGAGGTGTGGGCATTCTCTCCATGCCAGGAGAAGGTGACATGGGAGTGGGCAGGTTGGTTTAATTAGTCAATAAAAATGAGCGTTCATTGACCAGAAATCATCTTCTACTTCATGACTTTTATGGCGATTACTGACACTTGGGGACAGCCTGTGAGGCACAACCCTGTTGGGGGGGAGGGGGTCGAATGACTCTTTCACAGGGGTCGCATATCAGATTTTATGACTCACAACAGTAGCAAATTATAGTTATGAAATAACAACGAAATAATTTCATGGTTGGAGGTCACCACAACATGAGGAGCTATAATAAAGGTTGCAGTGTTAGGAAGGTTGAGAACCACTGGTCTAGATCAGGACTCCCTTCCAGATTTATGCCGCCAAATGTTTCCCTTGACAGGAGAGTGAGTCCTGGGCTGAGACTAGCCACTCTCTGTAGAAGGGCTCCCAGAATTCCCTCTGGGTTTCGTCTATCTAGCCCTCTGTAAAGGGAGGAACTGGCTTGGGGGAGTCACATGCTTTGCTTTGTCATAAGTCACGGGGCTATTGTGCCAGGTAGGGTTATAAGTCAGCAAGTCTCAAACTGGAACTGGTGTGTGACCCTCTCCTGCTTGACCCCCCCTCCTTGGGAGGGGCAGGTTGAACCTCCAATGCCACAGAGCTGGCTGTTAGAGACCCTTGGAGATGTTATCTTTGGGGGTTGTGTTCATACACCCAGAGACTACACAAATATTTTCTCTGAGTATCAGTAGGCCACTCCCTCCAAAAACCTGGTGACAGACCTTTCCTAATGGATAAGATTTTGGTCACTCTGAGAGCAAATATTTATCATGGAGTCACCACCTGCCAAACCCCAAGGGCTTTTACGGCCAGAACAAACTGTATGGGGAGGGAAGGGCCGGAGTACCTCCATGTGACAGGCAAGGAAACTGAGGTACAATGAGGGGATGCCACTTGCCCCAGCCACATGGCAGAAAGGCAAGGGAGGCTGCATTTGTGTGTGTGTGTGTGTGTGTGTGTGTGTGTGTGGTGTATACATGTACACATGTTCGTGTGTATGTATATGTTCGTGTGTATGCACGTGTGTACAAATGCATATAGAGGTCAGATGCCCACACCTGGTGTTTTCCTCTGTCTCTCTCCATCTCATTTTTTGGGACAAGATCTCTCATCGATTTAGCTAGCCTCTCCGGCCAGCAAGCCTCAGAGATCCTGCTGCATCTCTTACCAGGGCCTGCTGGGATCTACAGACGCCACACCACTGGTACACTTAAATCCTCAAAGCTGTTCTGTCATGAAGTGTCACTTCATTTTACAGTTTTAGAAGTTGAGAGCCTGACAGCCTAAGGAAGCTACTCCAGGCCATAGACCTGGGTAGGGATGGCTCTGCCATCAGCCGGGTCACAGCGTGTCAGAGTCATCTTATCAGTGTCTCTAGCTCCTTGTGGGGAGGAGACAGGAACCTGCGTTACACATGACAGCGTGGCCACCCACCAAAGATGCCCGTGTGGTCCATGGGACCTCACTGCCTGCCACTATGCAGGTACCCCAGCTTTCTCGGCCAGGACACCGTGACATCCAGCCTGCCCAGGCCTTTGGAGGAGAGGGCGCCTGTCTATCTCTCATCATTTATTATGTGTGTAGCTGCTTCTCCCCTGGTGCCGAAGGGGAGAGGCCAAAGTGGCTGCTGCAGGTGGTGAGACAGATGGCGAGGCCTTGGGCCACAGGTGAACCTTTCACCCCAGGGTTACGGCCCCACTCCGCAGGTCGCCTGTAGCCAACAGGCACATTCGACTGTGGCAGCTGTTGAGGTCTCACTGTGAGAGGCTGGGGGGGGCAGAGCTCAAGCTTGGTCAGCAGGAGTCAGCTGGCCCCGGCCCCCATGCCACCAGCTGTCCGGAGCTCTTCCAACCCACTGTCCTTGCTTGAGAAGCCATCCTGGAGTCACAGCCTTTCCTGGGTCCTTTGCTTGGCCCTGCCCACCCTCACTGAACAAAGAGTTTAGTCTGAGGGGGTAGGAAGCACACAGATCTGGACACAGTGCTGTCCACATAATCTGTTCTTCCTTCCTCCCCTCCTCCCCGCCTCCCCTCCTCCCCGCCTCCCCTCCTCCCTGTCTCTCTCCATCCCTCCCTCTTCTTTCCTAGGGCCACGGCACAAGTTGACATAAGGAGTACATCCCATCAAACCTGACACACAGTAAGTGCCCAGTAAACACTGGCTACTACTGGTATTGACTCGCATGACTGGGCATCCTGTATAGGAAGCCCCTTTGTTCATTATGGTTTTAAATCTGGGGAAGTGTTGTTTGGAGGGCTAAACGCAGTCCTTCCCCCTCTACAAAGCTTCCAGAGACAGCCAGGAGGGCCTGTGTGACTCCTGCACCTCCAGAGGTATCACAGGACACTAGGCAACAGGAGCCAGCCGTGCTAGTAATGTCTGTTTTGTCAAGTTCTTCCTATAACCCAGCCCCGCCCCCACCCCAGCTTAGCATACGCCCAGCTTAGCATATGCTGTTTATGCTTTAATAATGGGCCCATCTTACTGATGAGGAAGCCGAGACTTGCCAATGCCATGTGATGGGTGTGGCAGCCCAGGGCACAGGGTAGCAGGAGGAGAGGGGACTGAGGCTTGCCTGGCACCATCTCCAAAACTCTCACCATGGTCTGAACCTGGCTTCGATGTCTGAGAACTCGACCCCAACCTTTTAGGTTCTACTATGAACCAATTTACATCTGTGGTAGATAGTTCCAGTAAGTCATCCCCACCCAGCCCTTGCCTGGAAGACGCCTGGCTTAGTCAGGACCCCTTCCCACGTAAATAACAGGAAAGTTAGCGCAAAGTGGTTCAAATTAAAAGGAGGACTTACTGATCCACATAGCTAGGAACCCTAAGATGTGGGCTTCAAGCACAGCTTGATCAAAGGATTAAAAAAAAGAACAAACAAAGAAAGAAAACCCGAACCCACTACCCTGTCTCTCCCCTGCTCTCTCTTTCTCTGTCCCTCATTGCTCTCTTTTTTAATTCCCTGAGAGCCTCTCCCACAAGCTGTTGGCAAAACTGCCTCCCAGAGCCTTCAACCGGCCCTGGGCTCCTAGTAGGAAGACAGTGCGGTTTCCCTAACAGTAAAGCTAAAAGTCCAGGAAATGTTCTGATTGGTTGGGCTTGAGTCACGTGCCTGTCCCTGATCTAACCACTATCATCACGGTGTTGCTTTGCTCACTGGGGGAACCTGAGTCATATGCCTTTCATGGCTGGGGATGGGACCCGTGTCCCTTGAGTTAGATGGCCCGAGAGTGGGAACCCTAAAGCAGTGTGTGTGTCGAGAGGGTGGGTGGGTCTAGCCTGGCCCCTCAGATGGGGGACAGTGAACCATGAGAGACATTTGCAGAAGAATGAATGAACAAATGAGCTGATTCTCTGGTGGTGATGTCCAAATTCTCCTTGGTTAGCTCACTTCTAAATTGCCTACAGGAATCACGTCCCAAAACGGTGAATTAAAATCTGAACAATGAGAGGCCGGAAAGATGGCTTAGCAGGTAAAGGCATTTGCTGTGCAAGCCTGGTCAGCCGAGTTGTAATTCTTCCAAGAGCTTAAGACTAGATGCTGATTCATGGGACAGGGCCAGCTGCCTGCGCACGAAGACGGGAAAACGCTGAGAGGTGACAACATCGGCCAAAGAGCACATCACCACCAAGAGGCTTCTTGTCCCGTGAAAGCGCATGCTGCCATGGTCCCCACTTCCTGAGATAGTATGCTGAGCACTGAAGTAACAACCGTTGTGCCAATGATGACTGTAACAGCAGTCAGTGATGTCATCATCATTGCCTGAACACTGTTTCATCCTCATCACAGCCCAGGGAGGGATGTGTCATTACAAAGCCAGTGTGTGTGTGTGTGTGTGTGTGTGTGTGTGTGTGTGTGTGTGTGTGTGTGTGTGTGTGTGTGTGCTCATGGAGGCCAGAGGTCAGCAGCTGGTATCTTCCTTCATCTTATATTTGGAGACAGGATTTCTTCCTGAACCTGGAGCTCATCAATTCAGTTGGGCTGGCTGGCCAGTGAGCCCCCAGCATCTTCCTGTTCCTGTCCCTGTCCCCAGCACTGGGATCACAGGTGTGCACCATCTTACTCAGCTTTTATGTAAGCACCGGGGATCCGAACTCAGGTCCTCACGCTTGTGCAGTAGCACTTAACGCACTGAGCCCTCTCTCCAGCCCCACAAGGCTTCCCAACAGAGGATACTGAGGAGAGAGAAGTGAGGCCAGTTACACAGCTGGCATCCAGGACAGTGAGCCCCCAAATCCAGTCTGAGCTGCTCTGCTGGTGACAGCCTCTGCTGACAGATGGAACAAAATGGCTGCCTGTGGGCTGCCTGCTAGATCATCCAGCAGGGCCCGGACCTGGTCCTCTCCCACCTGACCTGAGCCCCCCTTCTCTCTCCTGGACTCCCTGCAGAGTGAGCTGCTGGTGTGTGTTCACAGGGTAAGCGTGTTGTTTGATGTATAAATTTAAGCACACTAAGCATCCCCTTCCCTCCTATCCACTTCCCATCCAGCACTTGGTGTCTGTCTGGCCATGCCCTGGACTGCAGTATCGGCTGCCTGCCCTGGGGCTCCACTGATGTCAGCCATCTCCTTCCTAAGCCTGTCATATGCCTCCAGGCCTCTGCTCAGGCAGTCCCCTCAGCCAACACTCTCTCCCTGGACCCCAGTTCTCACACCCCTCTCGGCTCCCCGCAGGCTCAGTGCCCTTCTTCCCTGGTCCTGTGGATGCTGCTGGGAGCACCCGCAGTGCCTCCTCCGTCCCCTGGGGCACATCTCGGGTCCCCCGAGTGAGCTGGTCGCCCTAGGCCCATGGCATTGTTTCAAAAAGACGCTAGCTCATTTCCCAAGCTCAGTCAGAGCCTTGAACAGTCTGTGGCCATTTTTCTGGCTCTGTGTGGGTATATGACTTCTGGAGACGCTATCGGGACAAGGGATCCTCTTTCTGCTAATGTGGCCCACCCTCTGGATGGTAGATGCCTAGACCAGAAGGAAAAGGAAAGCCTGCCCCAAAGGAAGGTGACAGAGAAAAAGAGAGCCCAGAGGTACAGGAAGGTG